AAAACTTTATTAACAAAAAGAACTGGTCTGCCAAATTTGGTGCATGGGTCATGGTTTACCGATACCTGATCTGATAACTTATTATTGTAAGAAAGAGTGTTTTAACTGTGTGGCTCAACATCAGCAAGATTAATAAAATATCCACTAAAGATGTCTCAGCATTCTATTGAATATCAAGTGATGCCATTTACTAAAAGAATTATTTTCTGGGTATGAGGAAAAATGCAAATGATGGACATATTGAAAATGCTTCTTTGACTTTCACAGGTGTCAGTAGCCTTAGGGATCTGATGTTACTTAAAAATGAATTCCCTTATATTACACTGATCTGAAATATCTGCTTAAAATATCTGCTTAATAACTTCATAGTTCTTTTTTCAGCCACTATCTTACTTTTAAGAGCTTCATCCCCACTCGAAAACCTAGGATAGCTGTTGCATTATTTAGAATTCTCCAAAGAAACAGAAACAACAGAATACACACACACACACACACACACACACACACACACACACACACACACACACACAGAAAGGAGGGGAGAGGGATAGAGGAAGGGGAGAAGAAAAATATACTTATTTACTATGAGGGATTGGCATATGTGATTATGGAAGCTGAAAATTCCCACAATCTACCACCTGCAAGCTGGAGACCCAGAAAATTCATTCTGAGCCCAGAGACCTGAGAACCAGAGAAATCTACGATGTAAATCTCTGTAAATTTAAGATGTAATCTTCCCAGCTACAGGGGAATATTAGATGAGGTGTCCCAGCTTATACAGTGAGGCATAAAAATAAGGAGGTGAATTTCTCCTCCTCTGGCTTTTTATTCTATTCAGATCCTCAACAGAGTGTGTAATGTCCACCCCCATTGGGGAGGGCAATCTGGTTTACTGAGTCCACCCATTCAAATGCTACCCTCACCTTGAAATACCGTCACAGACATACCTGGAAAGAAGGTTTAAGTAGGGTCCCCTTAGATAGTCAATTTCACATGGTTAATAAAGTTAACCATCACAATATTCTGTCTACTGATCATTTAATTATTTGATGACTGAGGAAATATTTTCAGGTTCTACCTCCCTGACTCCATTGTATTTCCCCATATAGCTTTTCCATTGTGTTTTTCTTTCACCTGTATTCCACCCCTCTACCAAGACCCTTGATTCTGAAATCTCAGATGGACCTTAGCTTCACTTCATGATGCAATGTTTCTAATAACCTCCTTTGTAGCTGTCATTTCAGGACTTTCCTTGCTCGTGATGCGGCCTAGTCCACGGGCCAAGAATTTCAGCCTGAGAAAGAACACTTATTCTGTAGGGTAGTTCAGATGTATAACATTCATTCACATAATAATTTGTAATCATTTTAAACTATTATGATAGGATTATAACAATTACAATTAAATGTTTACTTTGTGTTTAATATGTGTGCATCGACTGTATTGACATTCTTTTAGAAATTGTCTTTTGGTATGTTATCTTATTGTATTCTTTGCATTGCATATTTACGGATATTCACATTTACAAAAACATATTTATATAGTCCTGAGAACTCCCTATTTAAGAAGAAAAGCTTATCCTTTATGTCTAGATTCTTTAAGGAAACTTTTAAAATATTTACTAAAGCATTTTGACTTCTTTCTTTCTTATGAATTCTGGTATTTTCTGAGAGTTTAGTCAAGATAATGTAATGTTCAATTTTTAATCAGTTATTTAGACCCAGGATTGATGATTTTCAACATCAACCAATGATATTCTCCTGGAAGTTTTCCCCATGTTTTCTACATCTCTTATCCATCACTCTCTTTTATTATCCTGAAGAGAAAGTATTATTTTTGATTTCATGACAGCTCAGCCACTTCTATCAAAGGACAATCTTTGTCATTTCTCAGCACCTATCTTCTTCTTTGTTGATCTCTTGCTCCCTCTGAATCAGAAGCATTCCTTAGATTTATGGACACTTCTTGTACAATGTTCTTTTCATTTTGTTGCTTGGATCTTTACTCATTTTGGTTCTAGTTTCTTTAGCTCCATTTTGGATATTTTCCAATCTCCCAGTCTTTGAAGTTTCAGACTATTAGTCTTTTTTTCTATATGTGTACTTTATTCACTTGTAGACTAGTCTAACCCATTCATTTCTCTTCCTAAGCAAATAGAAATCTCCATTTGAACATATGATTTTTTTTGTTCACTGTATTTTCCCATACAGTTCTCAAATGCTAAATGATTAAATTTTGATTTACTGAGGACCTACTATGTCAACAGTATCTACAAAAAAAGGTTAATTAATTCTCATAACAATAAAATTTATATAATTCTACAGATGAGTGACCTGAAGCTCAGATAGATTAAGAGGCAAAATGTTACACAACAGGTCCTGAATTCATTCGCCAAATATTTATTGCACTATTTCCAAATTTAGGCACTGGGCCAGATGTTGGGAATGTAGCAGAGAATAAGCCTTTTGATCTCTATGCACTCATGGAGCATTATATGGGATATAGTAAAAAAGGTAAATGTACAATGATATAAAAAATAAACTTTTAAACATATAAATAAATACATAAGCTGTGATAGATGCAATGAAGGGAATGAGTATGTATTTTGATAGATTGTACCTAGTTGGGAAGTTGTTGAAATAGGACTCGATGAGGAGAAGGTCTTTTGTCAGAGATCTAAAAGTACAGATGGAATTAGTAATTAGAAGTGAGTGGACAGAATATATCAAGCCCAGGAATGTGACTAAGGCAAGGAAAAATGGCAGGGAAAGTATAGGTGTATTAAAGGAACAGAATATATTCAACATTGCTAGAGTGTAATCAATATGGGATAAGAAAGAGAGTCAGTCAAGGACCAGCCTGTCATGCTCCAAAGGGCAAATTCTTCCACCTCTATCAAGTCCATGTCATTCTCCTGACACAGCAATAAAATAACACTAAACACTACTGTATTTATTGGTACTTGCTATTATATCAACATTGAAGTCAAGTCTCAGGCCTGGTTATTCTTACCTAACTGCATTTACACTGTTGGTGAATTCACCTAGCCTCAAGGTTTTAAATACTGTATATATCCTAATGACTTTTCCAATGTCTCCTATGGCATGGACCTGTTCCCAGAACTCCAGAACTGCATATCTAATAGGTACTGAACATCTTTACTTGAATATTTAATAAGCTTCTCAAATACAACTTGACCAAAAATGAACAGCACCTGCAGACTTCCTATCAGGTCTAGAATTTTCTTTAACCTCATTTACAAGCTAAGAAGTTAACATGTACTCTTCCATGGATGCTGTCAAAAGACCTGAAACTCCTGGGTCAGAGACAAAAGACTTTATTACTTATGACACCACAAACAGCAGTAGATCAATAAATTTGTGTGGTTTTACCTTGCCCCCAAGTCCCATGATGTACAGACGGATGCTACACTTGCAGTGGATTTTTATTGCTGCTGAAGAACACTAACTTTGTATAACTTTCAGGTAGGCAAATTTGTTCTTTGTTCCTGCAGGAAACATTACCTCATTTCTCAAGGCTGCACTCTGTAAACTCGAACTTGACAAACAGCCTAGCAGTCAAGGTCTTATATTCTTGCCATAACTGACAAGATAAAGTAATAATTCAAGAAATATAAGAGTACAGTCTCACCCAATACTTCTGTAAAATGGGTGTGAGGTGGTTGATGACATGGAGTCATGTAGAGAAGGGCATAGGGCTATGGGCTGCTACTACAGCCCTTTACAATATGGGTAGTTTTGTGGCACTGGTACTCAATTCAAAAATTTCACCAGTGAACTTGGCTGGACTAAATTCCTCATCCACAACCTCTTTGGTAGGCTGAGGGCTGCCTGGCATGTAAAGGCCTAGGAACCTGGGTGAAAGTCCAGGTGGCCCCCAGCTTCTTTCCCCATATATATCCCATAGTTGATAGATTCTCTCTAAATGCAGATGCTTCCTTGAGGTTCACCTCAGCTCTTCTAAGAGAAAAGAAGGATGGACACCATGAACTGGGCCATTGTCCCAAGAATATAGACCTAGCTACTCATGACTTGCTTGGCCTTTGGGCAGCCTCTCACCATGGGTGGCTACTCATCTGGGTAAAGAATGGCAGCTCATCACTGCTTCCCCATTCCAGTGAATTACAGAATCAGGTTTTGTATTCTCTCTTCTTCTGAAAAATAAAACTCTATAGGTCTCTTGTCTGTTGTCTCTCTTAAGATTATCTAATGAGCAAAGGCATCCTTTGTGTTATCGATCCATTAGAGGGCTCCATACCCACCTCCACTGTCAAACCATGTGGCAGTGCCTGAGATAGGGGTGCCTGCCTGGACTTATCTCATCTAGCTATCAGCTGAGTTCACAGGTCCCTAGCACTGCTTCTGCTCATGTGTGCCCTAGGCATAGCCTGACCCAATTTGTGCTTTCTGTAGCTCCCTCATACTCAAGAGACTCTCCATTTTTATTGTCCTTGACCCCAGCTTATATAATAAAATAGACTTTCTAATTTCCCCATGCCTTAATTTTCCCATGATACTATAGCTGGCTTCCTAATAGACTTGTATAATTTACTTATTTAGTTTGTTTAAAGTCCATTTCCCTCCACTAGAATCTAAGCTCTCTGTGGCAAAATATTTTTGTATTTTTTATTCACTCATATCCCCAGCACCCAGGACAGTGCCTCAAACACAATCAATATTCTAATTACAGTTGATCAAATAGATGAATATATATGATTATTCATTTGTTAACCTGCTGTCTTCACTACTAGAACTTAATCTCTGTTAGAATAGGTACTTGGGTGATCTTATTCTCTGCTGTATGCTCCATGCCTAAAAGTGGAAAATTATTGGTATTTTCCAAACCCACACTGAATAAATGCATTGAATGGACAAAAGAAATAAGTTCTAACTAATTTCTCTACATAATGAAATAAAATGGTTAACTTTTATTGAGACATTTTGCAAGTCACTATAAAAAATTAAGTTTCTTTTGGAAGATTGGATTCATTTATTGATTTCAACAAGGATGTATTGAATACTTATTATTTGCAGGACCTATATTAAGTGTTCCTCTCTTTCAGTTCTTAGTGAAGTATGCTAAAAATAATTCAAAGAATGCCAATTGAGTGTGGCAGAGATTGCTGACTACTTGCCAAAACCGATATTTCCTTCTTCTTGGGCTAGAAGACTCTACTCTCTGGTTCTCCAGCAATGAGGTGTGGCACTGGAAGTGTATTTTGACCAGGGGAAGGTGGGCCTAAGAGATATGTGAACAGATAGGTTTGGGTCATAAAAATCTCCCACATGCAACCCTATGTATTCTTTTAGCCTTCTGACTTCCAGGAAGGCAGCAATCTCCACAGCAATTTTGGGAGCTTCACCTAGAAAATAAGAGAGCCTCTGTCAGATTTGGTACCTGAATGATTACAAAAAGGAGATTTGCTTGGCCAAACTCTGCCCCTCATAGAACAATTCTTAGAACTTTTGATTCAAGCAATTAGTTATTTTGCAGCCATTTTGTAAATCAATTATATTACCTTCATTGAAGAAATCAATTTGTGTTTATTTGCTGAAAAAAAAAAAAAGCTAATATTTTTAGGACTAATTTTATTTCTAAATAAAAGAGTAGCAACTCAACATTTGGTATCTCTTGTTTTCCAAGGTTGAAATTTAGGGTGAATGCATTAAGTAAAATAAAACATATTATATTGGATTTGCCTCCACAAATAACTTATCCTTACCACAGGAACTCTTCTATATAAAATTTCACTCATTTTTTTTTTTCTGTCTCCAGAGGTTGAGTCACCCACACAGGGGATTTTTGTTGCCTCTATCCCTTATTGATCCTTACTTTCTTCTTCTCTACCTCTGATAACCTTATATAGTATTTCTTGAAGAGGTCTTCACAGTTCCCAACCTTGTGAAAGATTCTACACAGCATATCTGCCATCTGTATTGAAGACTTTCCATCAGATATATCCAGGTGTTCCTGGAACTCTGATGACAAATATGTCAACATTCACAGTATGTTCTGAGGGAAACAAGCACACCATGGTTGGTAGATGTCGGATGTCAGGAGGTGTCTCATTTTCGCTCCCTTTTCTGTTGTTTCATAGTTCAGAGTAAAACAATTTATAAATCTTTCCTTGACATTGTTTCCTCTCCTTACCTCTGCCCTGCCAGGCTTGGTCCCCAAAGTGATGGCCATTTCTTTGGGGGTATAGCTAGGGACAATTAAATACAATGCTTCTACACCTTATCCCTTTTCACTCTGATAATCAAGGCACCAAGACTTGCCAAATTCTCTATATGTACTTCTTTTTTCCTTCTGAGAATCTGCTCTTCATCCTCATGCAAATATATTTTGGTGAAACAGACACACAAGTTTACCACAAAAGAACAAAGATTGACTCTCTAACTGAATAGAGCTCAAGGCTCCAGTTTAGCCTTCTCATATACATTAGCAATTGAATTATGGCCAACACCTTGCTTGTCACTGGAACATATGCCAGCCAAATAATATGAAAAGGCATTTATAGATAAAGAAATGAGCAGTAAAATATTTGAGTTTTTAATATTTGTTTAGGTATCTTAGATCAGTTGTTTGTGTGTGTGTGTATGTGTGTGTATATGTTTCTTCAGTCCTACTGGAAATAATACTATCTCCTTCAATTTACTTTGCAGATTTTTAAAAAAGTTATTGATTTAATCATAACTATATAGTCCTATATAGCTCCTATATATATTTTTATATATAACCTTAACCCTAACCCCCACCCTCACCCTAACCCTTTTCATTTTAATAAAGAAGACACAGTGAAATAAAATTTCCATTAACCCTTTTTATATATGGATTCAATGTGACATATAGGAAGACAATATGAATTTTTTAATCAGCCATATGTCCCAGGTGAAGTTAATAGTGCAAGCCATGTAGCACAAAAGTAGAACTATAAATATGTTCATATAAATGATCTGTTATTAATATATAGGCTTTATTAATTTAGTTTATTAGTTCTTATATAAGGATATTAGTATTTTTTGCAATGATATTATATGGCTTAGACACAACATATGCAAAATGAAATCTTAGTCAGTAGTCAATAAATAAAACTTCTTTTAGAACAGATTTGGACTCTGGGGAAATAATTTAATCCCTTCAATTGCTAATTGACCCCTCTTTAAAATGGGGAGAACAATGCAACCTAGTTTATATGGTTGAAATAATGTATGCAATCCAATATACCAATTGAATAGCAAGCAATTAAATTAGATAATCAGTCTTATTACTAGAAATTAGATTACTTTTCCAGACATATTAAAATCTGTTACCTTCAGCCTTAAGCATTTTTGTACATTTTTCCCCTTTTCTATGTTTAAAATAAGCACTACACATTAAAGTGCCTGGATCTTTGAGTATTTTCATTATTTTTCTTTATTTAATATTTATTTTGAAATAATTTTAGATTTATAGAAAATTATATAAATTAATAGAGTTCCAGTACATCATTTACCCATATTCCCCTATAGAAGCATGATACATTAACAAAACCAGAAAATTAAGTATGTTTTCATTAACTAATCTAGAGGTTGGATTAGAACTTCATTTGTTTTCACACAAAAGTATTTCTTTCTGTATCCAATCTAGGATCACATACTACATTTGTCATTTTTCCTTAGTTTCCTTTAATATATAAGAGATTTTCAGTTTGCTCTTGTCTTGTATGACCTTAATATATGTGATGAGGACTGGTTAGATATTTTGTATAATGTTATCCATTTTGGGTTTGCGTGATATTTTTCATGATTAAATTTAGTTTATTTTCTGCAAAAATGCCACTGAAATGTTTTACCCTTTTTATTGCATCATATAAGGAGAAACTTCATGTCACTCTGTCTTAAATGTGGTAGTGTTAACTTTAATCAATTGGTTGATGTGATGTTTGCCAACTTTCTCCACTGTGAAATTGTCAGGTTGGTTTTTTTTTGTAATTAATAGGCATCTTGCATAGAGTTACATCATGACAATGCAAATATTCTGTTCTCCATTATAGTTTTGATCACTAATTTTAGTTACCATTGATGATTTTTGCTGCAACTATTATACCATGATATATATCCAAGGGTGAATATCTATTTCCTTCATTCCTTCCACGTTACTTACTTAATTGTAAGTCTATTGTAAGGAAGAGCTATTGCTAATTCCTCACTATTTGTTTATTTATTTATTCATTTATTTATTCCTATCAGTATAGACTCACGTTACTTACTTAATTGTAAGTCTATTGTAAGGAAGAGCTATTGCTAATTCCTCACTATTTGTTTGTTTATTTATTCATTTATTTATTCCTATCAGTATAGACTCAAAAGTATTTATTTTATGGACTATAATTCAATACTATCATTATTTATTTTGTTGTTCAAATTCTTCCAGCCAAGGTTATTGAAATTTTAAGTTGGGTCCTTTGTCCTTTTTATATGTTCCCATCATGGTTTGAACACTTCATTACTTTCTTGCATCCCTAGAGGTTCTCGGCTCATTTTACACTTTCCTTCCTAATCCATTTCTCCAAAGAAGACCCCACCTTATTTGTTTGTTCATTTGTTTGTTTATACATGGAATATAAGGATGAGGCAAAAATGGAGGACTAGAAGCAACCGGCACATACTGCTTTCAAGAAGAGGATCAAAAGTTGCAAACAGATTCCCACCTACAGATGGGCCTTCTCAAAGAGAGCATTGTAAATTATAAGAGAATTGATAGGACACTCAGAATAAAAGAGAAGGTGATGGGGTGCTCCAATTGGCAAGAGCAGATGCTACCAGGTGGTAGCATGCACATGTGGGTAATGACAAGAGGAGAGGACCCTGGGACTCCATACTTTCCCTCTGGACACTGTGACCTAAGCTAGGAGGGGGCCTCCTCCACTACCACAGACATCCAGACTTATGGAGCTTCTTGGAGTCTGTGCAGTGACATTATATGAGACAGCAGGCACAGCAGTGACCAGGTGACTTCCATTCCCATGTCACTACAAATGATGCCATTCTGAGCACTCAGATCCAGAGCTCCTCATCTACATAGGGCTTGGCTTTTCTGCAACTGTCTCTGCATAGCCCCTTCTGGACTGGGGAGGTAGTAGAGGGAACAGATGTTCTTACATGCCCCGTGAATGGGAGCCAAGAACCACTTCCCACCAAGGGTGATTCAAACACAGCAGGCACAGCCAGTGCCACCTGAGCAGCCCACAGCAACTGCCTCAGTAGCACCTGTGGAGGGAGAGAGCCCCAGCTGCCAGGCAGACTGGCCCCATGGCCCCACTGCTATAATTCTCATACCATCACATAGCCCTGCGGCCCCACTGCTACAGCTCCTGCATCATCACTTGGCCCCATGGCCCTGAGTGAAGCAAAGACCCATAGCCCTGGCACCTGCAACCACACCTAGGTAGAGTTGCCTAGCTGGCACTTCTGTGAGGAGACCTGGGCCAAACAATCTCCTGCAACATCAGCCTCCATGGAGAGGGAATCACCCAGCTCCTCACCTGAGCTTCCCACAATGGCCTGGGAACCAAACTACCAATATACAGGAAGATCCTTAAGCATCGGCTTGGACTGTGACAAACAGAAGAATTGGAACACTGAACAGGTAGATCTCAGTGCATCTACCCCTCTCCTGCCAGGTCAATCTTCTTGAGTAGGACACAAAATGCCATGCAGAGACCTCTCCTTCTTCTCACTAAATAAGAGAGCTCCCAGTAAAGAAGAACAGGTGTACCATAAACGTATCTTCCCTGATCTGAGAGAAGTAGTTTCAGAAGAGAAGGAAAGAGCAAAAGAACTCTGGCAAGAGAAAGCAAGCTAGTTCAACATCCCCAATGGATCACAATAGATCTATAGTGATGGACCTCATCCAAAAGGAAATTGTTGAAATGTCAGAAATGGAATGCAGAATATGAATGGCAAGTAAGATGAATGAGACTGAAAAGAAAATTGAAAACCAATACAAAGATATCCCCAAAATATTTCAGAACATGAATGAAAAAAAGAAAAAAAGTCACTGAAAACACAACATTTTAAAGAATATAACAGAAATTAAAAGAGTAAAAGTCAAATAGCCAATGTTGAAATACAGCAGAAATCTTCAACAACAGTCTAGACTAAGCAGAAGAAAGAATTTCAGAACTTAAAGGCAAGCCTGTCAAGTAACACAGTCAATCACAGATGCAGAAGAAAGAATAAAGAAGAATGAACTCCTATATTGCTGGTGGGACTGCAAACTAGATCAACCTCTGTGGAAAGCAGTATGAAGATACCTTAAAGCAAAACAAGTGGATCTACCATTTGATCCAGCAATCCCATTACTGGGCATCTACCCAAA